TTAATTTGTATGGATTGTGCATCATTACATCGAAATCTTGGCACACATCTATCACGTGTTCGTTCATTAGAACTTGATGAATGGCCGTAAGTGATTATTTTGTTTCTCGTTCAATTTTTTTTTTGTGTTTTCTTTTCTTAAAAAAAAAAAGACCTGAACTTGTACAAATAATGCGTTCAATTGGAAATAAATTGGCTAATTCAATATGGGAAGCTAATATTAAAAATCGAGTTAAACCACAACCAAATGCTTTATCGTATGTTTTGATTAATGAGGTGTTTTTTTTTTAAATACTTTTTTTAAGATCTGAACGTGAACGATGGATTCGTGATAAATATGAACAAAAATTATTTCTTGCACCATTGACTATTTCATCTTCTTTAATAAGACAATCACTTATTGATGCTATTCATAAATCAGATCTTTATACAATTATACTTATATTAGCACATAGAAAATTATCAAATGAAGATATTAATTCTTCATTATTACATTTAGCCGCTTCACAAGGAAATGTGACTATTTTACAACTTCTACTTTGGGTAAACTAAAAAAAATTTACAAGATTTTTTTTATTATTTGAAGCAAAAAAGAAATCAATAGATGAGATTTTTATCTATACTAAAACATCTCTAATATAAAAAAAATCATGACGATTGTTAAAAAATACGTGAATTGTCGTGGAATGAAGAAAAAATTCTTAACTTTTTACGTCTATATTAGTCTTGAGAGAGAATAACAACAAGTATGAGTCTCTATTTTCGATTGGTTTTATGTGGATTAGCAGAACTCCATGAGCTGATCACGATGGTATAACATATTCATCCTCATAGAGTGTCTCTGAGGAGTAAAAGCTATTTTAACTTCAGAGAAATAACGGCAAGCTGTTGTTTCAAAAATTTTAATTTTCAATTGCAGATTCATGTATTCAGAGCATCTATTTTTGAATTCCTTACCTTGTTCATGGTATTTGTTCGCATAAACATGGGAAAAAAAATAACTATATCAAATGTAGACTATTGAAAATGAGATATCTGATAAAACTTTAATTACTAACTCTTTCAAATAGTATTCCTAGAGAATTTTAATCAATTATGAAAAAAATTAGTATATGTACAATATTAATGGTATTGAAATTTTCAAAATGTAGACATTAATAAGACATTTATTTATATGAATTGTATAACATGCATTCAGTGTTTAATTTTTATTATTGAGAACTAAATTAATATAAAAATAAAATTTCACGAAAAGATTTTCTTTGAAATAACTTTCATTGAAAGATTTTAACAATGTAAAACAAAATGTTTAGTTAATCAAAAATCCTTCAATAGTTTTTTTTTTAGTCGTTCTGCTTTTGAACTATAGAGTATCGATATTAATTCGTTTCGATGCTGATGGAATAATTAATTCCTTTGTTTTTATTTTCAAACAAAGCTCTCTCTCTATTGGAATTAATATTAGGATGATTTTAGTTATTTTTAGTTATGTCATCAAATAACGGTAATTGATTTTTTGAAAGTCTTATATTAGACTTGATAAATGTTAAATAGCATTTGTATAAAGTTGTATTTTCGATTATTTCTTCTTTATAATAATAGTAAATAATTGAAAAGATCTTGTATTAAAATATGTGTGTTAAATTTCTAAATATTCAAGACTTTCAGAAGTAGTTTCATCTTTCGATATATAATTATTTTGTTACTTTTGTACTTTAGTATTTTTTATAAATCGATTGTAGTATTCTAAAAATAGTTCTAGAAAACATTTCTTGACCAATGTTATCACACATATTTAATTAAATTGAACAATTAATTTTTCATAAGTCTTCTATTTTAGAAACTAAAAAAAAAAGCTTTTAAATATATTTATTCTAATCAGACTTTTTTTTTATTAACTCAATTCATTTTAATATTATTTCTTACAAGTAACAAATAAAAATCTTTTAAAAATTATTGATCAATCAAAATTTGTAATTATCAATTATAATTAAAATCTATTAAATTTAATTATTTATCTTCTTCTTTATCAGAATAGAAAAAAAAAATTGAACATAGTTTTTAACTATAATTTATATTATATTGAATAATATTTTCACTAAATAAGGTTATACAATTTAAAAATATTTTTTATTTTAGTATGGTGCTGATGCATTTGCTATTGATAGCAATGGTCGTACACCTCTTCAATGTGCTCAAGGTGATTGTATTCAAATTCTTCAAACATTAACTAATAATAATACAGATTTACATACAAATTCTCAACAAATAAAACCGACATCAATATCCCCTCAACATAGTACAATACCTCGTCAACGTCCGCCAGCATCATCACCTGGTCCGCCTTATGATAAACTTCCATCAACTGTTATCTAATATTCAATTTATGTTCAGATACCAAATTTATCGTGTCTTGTACTTATGGTGCGATCTTTTCCTTTTTCATTTTGTGCAATTCTCTGACACATTTATTTAAAAAAATATCTGAAAAAAAAGAAAAGAAAAACAGAATTCTTTGTTAAATAACTCTTTATCATTTGTCGGCATGTTTCTTTTGTAATATTTCAATGTTTCGTGTTGTTATTATTCGTGTTCTCTTTTTCTTATTACTCTAAATTCATGTTTGTTATCTGTCTAAGATTTACTCTCATCTCTATTGTCCTTCCTCTTTTTTTGTGTTGCGTTTGTACCGTACAGAAGAAAAAAAAAATGTAACGATTCAATTTTTGTACATAAAAAATTTGCATTTTTTTTTGTGTTCTCAGTTATAAAATATTGATTGTATCTAGGAAAAAGAAATTTATGGACATACTTATATATTTGTTGCTCTTCAGATTATGATTTGAATAAATCAATTTTCATAATGACTATTGTTAAAAGTAAGATGAGAAATATTTTCTTGGCTAATATTCAATTGTGTACTTGTGTAAAAGTTATTATTAAATGAAATAGAAAAAAGTGTTTGAAAATATTGAAGTTAAGCTATACATGACTATTAACTGCTCGTCAAGCTTAATTATTTTAATTAAAAAAAATGTTTCAATTGAATGATAAAAATTGATAATAAAAGGACGAATTACTGGTGAAAATGCATGAAAAAAAGTTAATTAAAAAAAATACGTTCATATTGTAAATAATTGGTTTAACAGATCTAATATCAGAACTATCAATCGTAAAAGTCAAATTTTTAGAAGATATGACACAATTAGAACTTGCACATTACATGTAATATTCTGGGAGATCTGAAAAAACTTGGTAACTACTTCTGTAAATCATTAGTAACAATGCACTAAGCAGTTCAGAAAACAGCACTTTGTCATGTGTACCAGTATGCTTCGTCCAAAATTAACATTGATCAGACCTGAATGCTGTTTCAAAGGAGAAAAAAAAACCTTCGTATACGCCATCGAAACACTATTGTATGTAACAACTAAATATATATAGCAACGTTTTGACACTATTTATGAGATGCGATTTCTTGCTTCGAAAAAGCATTTAAGTGTAATAAACGGTAATTTTGGACAAAACATACTGGTTTAACAGACAAAATGCCGTTTCCTGAACTTTATGGGCTTAATGAATCTGTCAATACTATTCTCTGATGGTAAATAGGTTGCTTTGGAATCAATCGAACATCTATACTCAATTTTACTGTTTAGATGTTGCTTTACATAACTTTGAATTCGATCAATAAAATGCTTTATTTATCAATGAATACCAATATACTTCAAATGAATATTAGTGTGCATTGATTCCTTACAATCAAAATAATGAAAACTTAAGTCTTTATTTATTGATATTTTTATTTTATGAGACGAATGACTTATGTTTAATAATGAAAATTTGACATTGAATATGAAAATAAAACAAATAAAAACGTCAGTGAAGAATCAACTATAAATACACTATACATCATAACATCAACAAATGAATAAAAACGTAAATTAAATTAATTTATTTTTGTATGTTTGTTTATTTCTTATCTAGTTAATTTTTGAAAAGAAGTTAAAAAAGAATAAACAGGAAGAATAATAAATCTATTTTGTTTTGTCGAGTCTGTTGTTTTAATACTGATTTTGAATTGAATTCAGGACTATGATAGAAGAATATATAAAATCGGAGCAAAAAGGTTATATATATTGATAGGTTTCAAATATTTTCTCAAAGATAATAGCTAGGATAATTTTGAAAAAAAAATTTTAGACAATTAAAAGAATTCTCCATATTTAAAAACATAATAAGATGTGACCAAGCTTTTCATACTCTTTCTTCATCATGTTACACTCTGTTTTCATTGTTTTTGCAACAAATTGCTGTTTTACACTTTGAAATCTTTCATTAGATTGAAGTGTACTTTAATGAAGAAAAGACATTGTTATGTCAGGAGATGTCTCTCCTGACATAAGGAAGCTCTATCTATTCTCTTGTGATGTCATCACTGCACATCAATGGCATTCTTACTCTTCTTTCTCAATGGTACTCTCACCATGGATAAAGAAAGATAAAGAATGGAATAAGAGACAGAGAGAGAATCATATTCTTTGCTGCTTTTTGTTTTTTGATTCATTCGCTTGTTTGCTTTTTGAAGGAAAGGAAGAATAATAAAGAAAAAGAAGAAGAGTTCTAACAATTGGTGCACTAGCCGGAGTCCTTCGCAAATGTAACACAATGATTAATAATTCATTATTCTCCTATTACTATTATTGAAATATTACAATCCGTCGTTATTGATGTATCCTCGCGAAATTACAACCACTCCTATTTGGATTCGTCACAAACTGCCGTTATGTGCTCCCCCACCACCAAGTAGAGACGAAAAATTACGAAATCAAATCAAATCCCACCACGTACAATGTTCCGAAGAAGTGATAGAATATTTATGTTCGACAAGAACGTGCTCGTCTTGATCTCAAGTGGTGTCTCGATCAATGCTTTGGCTGGAATGTTTCTCATCCATGTTTGGGGCAACTTGTAACAGCAAATATTTTTGGAACTGTTCATATGGCTTATATTATTGATTTTGAGCTAGCAAATGTTGTGATTGCACCGGCTAACATGTCTGGAAATTCTGTGGTTATTAGACGCGATGATATTTATTCTGCAGAAGACAGTCCATTCTGTGAAACATTTTTACTTAATCATTATCTTCTTCACCCTCAACATGTACTTGATTATATAGCAAATCAGAAACATAAAGATGCATTAACAGAATTTCGTCATGATGTTTCGTTTAGTTCAACTTTACATGAATCTATTAGTAAATATTTCGACACTGAGTGGCCTGAAGGTGAAGAAACGTGGTTAATTCATGATGAAGTTCCACAGCGTAAGCAGTTTGTTACATCTGCAAACGACATAGTGCTACCAGATTTGACATTCAATATTTTTGAAAACTCGCTTCAAAAAAAATCTTGTGTTTCAGATCATGACTCATCAGCACTCGCTCACCCGACAAGTGAAATACTATTTTTATCGCAACCAAATATTGCCGAACCCGGCATATTGTTCAAATCAATCAAATTATTCAACGATGAAGTAGCAAGACAACAGGTTACTCCCAATTTTCACTCTGAATTTACCCAAAACAACATTACAATTTCTTCATACATGCCGAAGACAATACTCTCACGTCAGAAGATTCATTTAACTCGAATACTATTCAATTAGTCTCACTTGATATCAGTCTTGTTACTTTCTTATTTATTAGTATGATATTTGGAAATCTCGTTCCTTGTCTTATTCTTGATCATTATCAGAAATCCTTATATTTAATTAACAACACCGGCTTTTATCACAAGACTAATTTTGAGTGGTTTAGAACTTTAGCTGTACCCTAGTGCGACAAGCTAATAATCGGCAGCAGGTGGAAAAATATTTCTCCCTGCACAAATGGAACGGGACACTGGAATTTGCATACTAAATTAACATAAACTATTCGTATATCTTCACTTGCATAGTACCCGCTTATCTTTGTCATTGCACTTTCGATAAATATCTAACAAACATGCCTCTTTGCTAAATTCTTTTACACTTTCTCTCACCTCTTATCGTATACATTTCATTATTATACTTCTTTTTCGTACATGCAAAATGTTCGATATGGCACATTCGTTCATTTTTATATAATTCACAAGACACGCTGAATATTTGGATAACCTTCTATACCATTTACTCATTCGTTTCGTCAAGTGTTTTTTCGTTGTCGTTCTATGAACATTTACATACGTCTATTACAACAGCGCTCTTAGCGGATCTATCTGACTTTCTGCTTCGCCTCCGTGAGACATTTTTTTCTTTTATTCTATACAATTCTTGTGACCGGGGCAGATGTTATGTCAGGAGATGTCTCTCCTGACATAAGGAAGCTCTATCTATTTTCTTGTGATGTCATCACTGCACATCAATGGCATTCTTACTCTTCTTTCTCAATGATACTCTCACCATGGATAAAGAAAGATAAAGAATGGAATGAGAGACAGAGAAAGAATCACATTCTTTGCTGCTTTTTGTTTTTTGATTCATTCGCTTGTTTGCTTTTTGAAGGAAAGAAAGAATAATAAAGAAAAAGAAGAAGAGTTCTAACAGACATGTAGAATTCGAAAACTTCGTAGTAAAGTTCGAAATATTTGTACTATTTGATAAGTATATTTTCAAAACGTTTCCGATTGAAATCTAAAAGCTAATTATTATTAGTTCTTAATTTCCCAACAAAACAGTTTTTATAAGCAATTAAATTGAAACAAGAAAAGTACATCTCTTCATGGAAAATTCTTTCAGATAATCAAATCATTTCTTCGAATTAGTTCTAGTCTTGTAGAAATGCCCGCATTCCTGGATTATGGTTTCAAAAATGATTTTTTTAGTATTGAAAATTCATTGTTCTGTCAATTTTTTTAAAATCGTTCCTCTTATTCTTGATTGCTCTATCCGAAGATATCGTAAGATTTCATCGAATGTCAAAAAATTAGATTCAAAATTGGTTAAAATTCATGAGTATTAGAAGAACATCAAACTAATTCCGTAATCTATTTTAACTATTTAAAGAAATAAAACTAGCATCAGATACAAAATTCTAAGTTAATCCTTGCTGAGATCACAGGACAATGAATTGTTAATACTAAAAAAACTCATCTTTAAAACTACGGTCCAGGAATTGATGCATCTCTGTCTAATTAATAAAGTTGAGAAAATATCTGAAAAATATAAATGTACTAAATTATTTATCTCTACTTTGATTTAATGAATTGCAGAAAACACAAAATATAATGAATACAAGTAATTTTATTGAACTTCAACGTAAATTTGAAACATTTCAACGACCATTTGGTTTTAATTATGTACATTTTTTACTTATGCATCTATACAATTCATCATCTGCTGCTACAATTATAAAAACTTATCCATTATATACGACTTTTTTACGTCTTCATCGTAAACTTGATCTTCATGAACAAGAACAAAATAATTATCAAGCGATAATTGATGCAATTGTTTTTATTTTTTCACAAAATGATATTTCTTTTATTGAAACAGTTGAACAAACAAATTTGAATATGAATATATACCCAATATCATGTCTATTTCGTTTGTATTCACCAATGCATCTTATTTTATTTATGGAACCATTAATTTTATTAAATGATGAACGATTAAATAATATTATAAAACGAATATTTATTAATGAATATCCAAAAGATAAATGTGATTATGTTCATTTTTGTATTGCTCATAGAAAAACAAAACTTCTTATGGATTTATTATCTGAAAATCTTCAACAAGATGAAAATAAAGACAATTGGTTAATAACAAAAATTAATACACCAAGTGATAGATCATGGTTACCTATTCATTATGTGAGTTATTTATTTATAGTTGAACTAAGATAAGCATGAATTTTTGATAAATCGATTTTAGACACAATAATCACCATTTCATCATTAGAGAAATGAATAAATATTTTCCTTCAAGATTTTTGTAACGAAGATTATTTGAGTAATTTCAAACGCTTTGATGTATTTGCTGTTGAAAAATTGAATTGAACATTAGAGATAAGCTTTTTTTCATAGCATGTCTCCTGACTAAGAAAAATTTTCTTACATCAACCTATCCTGCAACATTCTTATCCTACCCTACTCTATCTTGCAGGATAATATAACCATACATATCTCTATTAAATCTGTCAATACAATATTTGTATTTGAAATTAGGCATCATATGTTGGTGATCATGATTTAATCGAAAAATTATGTACACAATATTCTCAATTGATGGATTCTTTTCATTTTATTTTACCAAAATCACGAATGCGCGATTTTACAGAGAACCCATTTGATTATCTACTACGTGCTAGTGGAATGAAATCAAATACTTCAAATGTAGGCAATACTGTACTTAATCTTCATGAAGATACTCATGATGATTCTCCAATTTTACCTATGATGAATGATGATGAAGATGATGAAGAACTTCTTTTATCATCACGAATTATAGCTCAACAACATAAAGATCAACGAAGTGATAGTTTTACAGCTGAACAAGAAGCTATGCAGGTTGAGAATGCAGATATTCCAGATGCTGATCAACTTGGTATGTGAAAAAAAAACATGAATTTTCCTTAATTATTGTCTTTTTTCTAAATTATTTTGAAACACGATCTAAACAGAGTATTGAAATATATAGGATAGAAATCTGCACCTCCTACAAATCGTAACAGAGGTTTTTGATACATATCTACGGATCATATAGCAATAACCTCTTGTCACATTATATGAACTACTTCCTTATTTCATTCGTGAAAGATTAAGTAAAAAGATAATATGTTCTAAACTAAATAGAATACATGAATCTCTCTATCATTAGTAATAATATGTTTACATATTAATCCCGAAAGGTTTGTACTAACAGTTTTTTTTTTTCTTTTGATAGAATGTTCGATACAATTTTCACGTGATATGCTTCTTCGTTCATTAATTAAACATGAAAAAGGTATAGTTTATTTGATTCCATCACCATTATTACTTGCGTCAGCATGTCCACTTAATGGTGATCAGTATAAAGAATCTTATTATAAAATAATTCAATATCTTCTAAATTCTAAATTAGTCGATATTGATGGTTTAAATCATAATTCTTTAACAAAAAATACAATTGATTATTTTTCTTGTCATCAATATGCAAATTTTACTCGTACAACATCAATGCCATATATTTATTATCAATGTGATGCTTTATTTACTTCAACATCATCAATGAATAAAAGTCATATTAGTCAAGCAAGTGGTGATGAACAACCCAATTCAAAATTAATCTATTTTATAACAATACTTAATCAACATTCATTATTTTTACGTTATGAAAATTTTGATCAATATCTTCTTCGACATTTACTTGATTTACATTCTTATCAGATTGTAAAAGCATTTGGATATAAAATAATAGTTAATCAGTATTTAAAAGGTATTGTTCTTGAACATGAACAAATTAATGAATTAACATATCGTATTGTTATACGTTATAATATATATAAAGAAAATGATTTAATTCAAATTGATATAAATTATTTTTTTATTGATTCTTATATTGATCAATTTACTGATACATATACATCAATTTTTCATACACCTATTACAATAGCAATTCAAAATAGTTCTATATCAATTATTGATATATTACTTTCAAATATATCTTTTAGTAAAACTACATATTGGGGTACATTATCTATGCATGAATTAGAAACATGTGTTGATCAATTATTTACAAGACGAGGCAAAATAAATTTTGATATATTTACTAAATTTTGTTCATCTATTGGAAATATTCATTTAGATGAATATATTATTCAACAAAGAATATTTGTTCATACATTAGTAACATGTATTAAATATAATGCTAAAACAGAATTAGAACATCTTATTAATGATTATACCAAAATTTATTATGATAGTTGTGAACAATATCCAACAGATATTCGTCATAATGTATTAACTTATTGTGTTGTATGTATCTTTGACAAAAAAAAAAAAACATAAAATTATTTTGTAACCAATGATAACTAAAACCAACTAAACATCTCTTTTATTAGATTCGTCACTATTTAATTATTAATAATTCAAAAAAAGCATCTCGAAAAAAAAGGCGACAGTTTGAAAGATTTGCCAAGGGAATTTTCAACATGCAGAAAGGAAAATCTTTTATTACAGAATAGCTACAGAATACTTGAAGGCTGAATTTTTACTCTTTTTATTAACAGAACATTGAACAAATTTACTTAAATCTTATGCATCGGAAATCTATAGAATTGATGTATACTGTCTGTTAAAAGTTTCTATACCTATTTTTTTTCTACTTGTGTAACGAAAACAATTAAGGTCGGGACGAGACAATGAAACAGATATGTTCCCTGTTTCAGTTTCTGATAGATAGTATTGTTTTCAACACTTATTTGAGAGCATCAAACAATATGAACATAAACTTATAACTTAAAAATAAAAATTTCTTATTATTCAATAGGTTCGTAATCAAGCATTAATTCTTGAAGCATTAATGTTCGCTTTTTCATCTTTAAATCCAAATAGTTTTCAACTTTCTATGTTACCATTATCAACTGCATCATCGTTATCAAAAATAACTCTTTCAACAATACTTAATAATTATCAAAATAATAAAGATAAATCAATTGGTATATCTACATCAATGGATTCTATATATTCATGTTCAGGTGCTGAATATCGTCAATGTCGTCGTATTCGAAATATTGCTATAGGAAATCAACAAAAACAAAATCCAAACCAACATTTATCTCATCAAGATAATAGTAGTTCAACTAGTCGAACAACAAGCGCAAGATCACGTTCACGTTTATCACGGTTTTGGCGTACAATACGTTTATTTCAATTAGGTCTTCGTCATCGTCATCAAACAAATCAATATACTGAACAAATAAATAATTCTGGTCGTGATGATCGTCGAACAACTACAGGACTATCACTTGATACTGTCGAAGAAAATGACAATATATTTCATCGAGCTGATCTTGAAATTGCTCAACCTGTTTATAATGAATTACCAGCAACAATACCTTTAGTACCTCAACCTATTTTTATTTCTTTTCCAAATAATGATCAAAATGATGATGAACATGATATAATACCAGTTATTGGTCAAACATTATGTAAATTTCTTCGAATATTTCTTTTATTTACTTCTTTTTGTCTTTTTTCTTAGTACATATCGCAGCCAAACTACCTGGACATGAAGATGTTGTTCGTGTATTAATCAGTGAAAATAATACAATGACTTCAATAGTTAATTCAAACGGACAAATTCCATTACTATGTGCTATTCAAGCAAGTAGTACACTAACAGGTACATCTATATATATATTTAAATGATTTTAAATTCAATTCTATAACAGATATTTTTTTTTGTTTTGGTTTATATTTCAGCTCAATTATTAATAGAAGCTGATCCTCATTCATTAATAACAGTTGATAATAAAAAATCAAGCATTTTTCATTATTGTTGTGAAAATAAAAATGATGTTCTCCTTGCCAATATA